TCATGGTCCCCGCTCGGCCGTCGCGCGCCGGCACCTCCGAGCCCGGCTCGGCGCGGTCCGGGTCCCGGGCGCGGGCCGCCATGTTTTTGGGGCCGGCCTCGCGGGGAAGCTCGGGCTCGCCCTCGGTCTCGACGATCACCCCCCCTGCGCTTCCCGGCTCGGTGGCGCTTGTACACGTACTTGTAGAACAGGAGGCGGCGGTCGGCGACGTACGCGAAGCCGACGCACACGGGAAAGAAGAAGAGCGTCAGGAGCCCCTCCCAAATCTCCACCACGCCCGGAGAGAAGTAGGCCAGGATGAGGTAGAGCCACGTGTAGGCGAAGACGCTCCAGGCGGCCGTGACGAAAAAGACTCGCAGGTGCTTGACCCTGCGGCTCTCTCCGTCGGGGATGACGTAGACGCAGATGCCGATGATGACGAACATGTTGAAGGCGGCGCTTCCCACGATGGTGTTGGGCCCCAGCTCGCCGGCGTCAAAGTTGTGACCGCAAACCTCCACGACGGAAAGCAGGATTTCCGGAGCGGACGAACCCAGCGCCATGAGCGTCAGGTTGGACACGGTCTCGTTCCAGATGCGCACGGTGGTGGTCAACTTTTCCCCGTTGGCTTTTTGGACGGTGATCTCTCGCTCTTGGGACGTGATGACCTCGATGGACGCCATAAAGCGGTCGGCGATGATGGACACGCCCAGGAACATGTACGCTAAGCCCACCAAATAAATGGCGGCCCTGGCGACGCGGTCCGGGAGCTCGGGGTCCTCCGGTCGCCACGGCGGCAAAATGACGCCGTCCTTGCACCGGGCGCTGCCGCCGCACTTTGTGTCGTTGCGGGCGGCGGCCGTGCGGCTCCCTGCTTCGGCCAAGACCGGGGCCAACAAAATGAGTGACGATGACGACGTCATGGCTCGATGCGCTGCTGCCAGATGCAAAGACAAGTTGGGGAAGGGGGGGGGAGATATATATTATATATTATATATATATTAGAGCTGTCAAACGATTAAAATATTTCATCTCATTAAAAATGCAACCGTCATAATTAACTCAAATGAACTAAAAATGAATCGTGATTACACTTGAGACTTGATGAATATGATTAATATGATGGCGAATATCGACGTTATCATGAAAGCGAGTCATATGTCAAATGTGAGGGAGGGCGCGATGGTCCTCCGCTGCAAAAGGGGCAACGATGAACTGCGTTGTCTGACGGCGTTAGAAAGAGAGAGAAATGTACTCCTTCCATCCTGAGATGAAAAGCACGCAGCGGCCGCCGAAGCAAACGCCGGGCAAGACCGAAAACGGCGCTCTTCATGTCAAAGAGATTGGGAAAAAAAAAAAGAAAGCCGGACGGGCTCACAAGGAGCGTGCGACGTTACGACGGAGCTATCTTGGATGTTTGCGAAGCGCACGCTTCTCTTCACCAATAAAGCGGAAGATTTCATCACATTCTGGCAAATTGGCACTCTTGCAACAGGGAAACTATTTGACAAAGGCTGGGCCCCATGAGGGAGGAGATGGGGGTGGGGGG